TCCAGTGCTTCTTAGGGGACTGCTGGTTTGTTAAAGAATAATTGGAGTAGAAATTCTCAGTGTTGGTTATGAATAAATCCTAAACCTGTGCTGTAACAGATTATAATAAAATACTTTACTGAGTACCAAATTATTGTCTAATCATTATGTTATGGACTGGGTCAAGCATCACATCAAGTAGTTACTAAAAGAATAATTGTTACCCAGTCAGTACCTGAACATTATCTAATGTTTTAGTGTGACGTAAAGTAAAGGTAAACCACACGTTAGTTCCTGCTTAGTTACTCTGTGTTTCTCAGGAAACTAAGCAGTAGTTCCATAACAAGATTCGGCTGGATGTTCAACAGTAAATACTGGTTAACAAACCATTAGTTCCCTAGATGCTGACTAGTAGTTGATCACATTTTGTGTTCCATAGTGTTGAGTGTCAGCATCTACAACAATTCATTAAAGTCACCCTGACATTATGAGTTACAATATTTAATATTTCCTGAAGTTCAAACCTAAACCCAGTTATAGACTGTGGCATTCAATCTGACTGACCTTCAGTTGCTTTGCTATAAATGTAGAAATAGGTGGTGGAGGGGCATATGCCACACTTTTTAGACTTTCAATAGATTTTCAATTTTTTTAAATAATTTTTAATACAAAAGAAAACAATTATCTGTCCAATAGAGTCCTCCAAAAAGCTTTGAGGTTTGTGGCTGCAATGTCAAAAACGTTAAGAGGTAAATATATTTAGGAAATGTCACTGAAAGGTGCAGCTGTAAATACCTGCTGATGCTTCCTCTCCATCTCCACCAGCTCCCCTTCCACCTTCATCTGCTTCTCCTTCACTTTGACCAGCTCCTCATCTTTAGCCTGCATCTCCTCCTCCTGCCTGGTCACCTGCAGCAGGGGCTTCACCTGCAGTTCACAGAGTAAAATACTTATTAGAACAAAATGAAACATCGTCCAGCTGGAAAATAATCCAATCAGAGAACAAGGCACCATGAGAGAAGCACACACCTTGGTGAAGAGTCTCCACCACTGCCAGTGACGCAGCTTCAAGTAAGCAGCGCAGTTTCTCTGGAGGACTTTTAGGGCACTGAGCTGCTGCTGCTTCTTAGCAAAGGCTCTGAAGCATCACATTCAGAGACAAAGATGATGTACAGTGAATGAAACAGTGGAAAAAATAAGATCTGGTTAGGCTACATGGTTCTCATTGCAACATTTTGCCCTTACTTGCGCGCCAGATATCCTCTACAGACGGCCTGGAAGTAAATAATGATGTCTGTGATCTTCAGGTCCCTCTCTTCCTCTAAGTGAGCCAGGACTCCAGTTCTGAAGAAGATCTTGCTCTGGCCGATGCGGAAGAGGTTGCCGTCGAGTTCAAGTGCTTGAATCTGCAAAAAAAAAACAAAGAGGGAAAAGGGATTTTTTTTTTAAATAAAGTTGGACGTTCTTTTATTAACTTTAAATATGATATCTTTCATTTAGTGAATTCTAACTGTCGGAATAATATTCTAAATGATTTTAATTATAAATCGGTCTGTACCATTCGCTCGCAGGCCTGCTTGCCATCCATGAAACCCTTGGGAATGGCATTAGGAGTCAGGATCTCATATCTGGACACAGATGGAGACATAGTCAGAACTAAACTACACATAACAGACTCAGACTAATATCTACACAACTAAAAAAAGGACATTAAAGCAACTTCTGATATCCTGAGCGTGTTAATGATGTGTTTATATCAATGGCAATTGCAAGACACTAAAATATTTTTAAAATCATATCAGATTTGGGGCACATACAGCTAAAACATGTTTCAAACATGTTTCATCAGACAAGGAAGATCTACATCGACACAAAATGTAGTTTACGACGATGATAAAATCTTAAATTAGTCCAAAAAAGCAAAGGCCTGAAAGTCCCACATCAAATGAGTGCAGGTCTTGAGAAAAAAACTAAAAACTTTGAGTGTTTTAAAATTATTTTCAGTGATTTTATCCACTGAATGAAGAAAACTTCAGAAGCGTCATCAAATTAGGGGTGTTGTGTTTTTTTTACAGAACCTATTAGCCCAATATATATAAAACATCTAGGAATTTAATAATCAAAATTATTTTTTATAAGTAAAATTAAAATATATATTTTCATGTAAATCAGCAGGGACAGCATAAACCTGCTTTTACAACATCACATTAAAAAAATCTGATTATTTAAATAACTAAACATTTTTTATACAACAGAGTAGAAATTAATGTAATTAAGTTCATTTTAAATTATTGCTGTGCTGCTCAGCTAGATAGCATGGAAGTGGATATACTTACAATTTATTTTTTTTAAATCTAAAACAAAAAAGAATTTAAATTACTTTCCCACTGCATGTCTAATGCTCAAATCCACTTTTTTCAAGAATCAGGTTATCTTTTGCGTGTTGCCGTTCCCACACGCTGCTTTAAATGATGCCTTGATCTGAGTCAGAGTGAACTGTTCGCTGCTCTGAACTGACCTGCATACGTGTAACAACTATAAGATTAGCTATAAGATGCACTATGTTTTAAGAGCATAACAGAAACCATTTATTATCAGCAGGTGCCCTGTGGGAAACACATCAATTTAAGGGTAGGGAGACTTTATTGGGGCATTTTTGGGAGATCTGATGCCCTTTCAGCTCAATCTCTTTGGATGTGTTGACGCAGTCAGCAATGATGGGACAGGGATGTTATCAACTTTACAGAAACTGAATTTATTCTGAACTTTATCATGTCGAGGGCAACTTTTAATCCTTTTTGCCAGCGTTATCCTCTAAACATCAAAGGTAGAAGACTTGATGCAATTCAGTATATCAGATTGCAGCAGGAGCAGACTATCACATGCTCGCTAACCTTGATGGTATCTGTCGTGGGGACGACAGTGGCATCTGATGTAGGAGTTTGCCCTGAAGTCAAAGGGCTGACTGTTCAAGCTTCCGGCTTCCAGCGTCGTTGTGTCCTTGGGCATGACGCTTCACCCACATTGTCTACTGATGGGGGTCAGTGTACAGTAGCCTCGCTTCTGACAGTGAGCCCCACGGCAGCTGTGGCTACAATGTAGTTTGCCACCATCAGTCTGACTTGAAATAGAACTATATAAGTATAGGCCATTTACCATTTTATGACCTGTGTTTGAAGGGTGGTATATAAATTTTACTATAAAAATGACGTCCCGTTTCCATTTGGTGAAGATGAGCCGATCAATTAGGCCTGAATAAAAGGTTACCTCTGTTTATTAAACTTCTCGTCTGTACCATTCTAGCTCCCACCTGTTTTGCTAACAGCTATCGTTTACTGCTGGAGTCCAATGTCAACGGAAAGTGACGTCTAACGTCACACCTAATCCGCCTATGCTGTTCTACTGGAGTCCCATTCCAATAGATCAGGACAACATATAAATTCGGCCTAAATGTGATTTGAAAATATTAGATTAAGGCAAAGTCTAAGCGTTCACACTTGCTTTAAACAGCCTGACCTGATCTATGGACCCAAAAGAATAAGATTTATGAACCATTTGCAGTGGGAACAAGGTAAGATTTTTAGACATATGTAAATTATACTAGATTTCATCATTTGATTTTCATTTAAACATGGGGATTTTTTTCTTATTTATATCTTTCCCTTATTCTCAAAACTGAATAGTTAAAAAACTTAGATTATTAGGAAATAAAAGATTCTGCTTTAATCTAAGAAGCAATCTGCAAGCTGTTAGCATTTTAACCACACCGTCTAACAATGTTGGTGAGATAGCAGACAAACAGAGTTTAACCACTGAATTTATACACTGAAATGATTGGTGAGGGAAACCAATATTAATCATTATAAAAAGCTACTACTTAGAAGCTGACATTTTGGATCTAGTTTAAGAAATGCTTAATATAGAAACTAAATGAGGGCTAAAACGTGACCTCTGTCTGAACTCCTGGAAAACGATGCGATTGGGGAATCCCTGTCTGCAGATACGGATCCCCTCCAACACACCATTACATCTCAACTGGTCCAGAACCAGGTGGGGGTCCAATTTACCAGCCTGGAAAGGAAAGACAAAAAAAAACATTATTAAAAAAATATATAGTAAAATTATCCCGACAAATTAACAGCAATAAAAAAAAAAAAAACATGTATGAAAACAGCAATGATTTTACACTATTTACAGCAGGCATGTCTAAAGGGGCCATTTGGAGCCCTCAGGATAATTATGTGAGGCCATTCACTAGAATTCAAGACGAGATTAAATTTAGTTTACCACCCAAACCCTTTAATAAATATACACTTAAAAAAATAATGCAACCATTTTTGGCATTTACTTAATCATATTTATTTACTTTAACATAATTGTTTCACGTTAGCACGGTAGGACATAAAACAACTGTGTTCAAGTAACTAAATATGATAATGTTAATGCATAGGTGGTTGCAGTATTTTTTTCAGTGTATTCATATGATGGCAAACATATGTCCATTAAATGTTGGGGTGCAATGTTTTATACTGACATGAGACCTTTAAAAAAAAAAAGATGTTACAATTAAAATAGAATATTACAACATTTTTCCTTTCAGTTTAATTCAATTAAATACTAAAAGGAAGATAAACATCAAAATCACTATTAATTAACTTGTTAATATAGAGGATTCAGTCTTATTCATATCCTGTTACAATACAAACACAACAAAATCAGAAAAGTATGGTCACCCTAAAAACTTTTGTGTTTTATATGCTTTATTGTTTTGTTTTTAAACAGGCAAACCTACAAGACAATGTTGGATCTAAAATAGTGATCCCTTTTCTGTAGAAATCAGAGTTATGCTGGTTTGAGGCAAACACTGCAAACTTTATTTACTGTTGATGTAAAGCTGGAGAAAAAATAGTATTTTAAACTGGACATCGTTAACTATTTTGGTAAACTTTTGGGTGCAACTGATTTTATAATATAACGGTTCAAAGTGGAAATGATTGGAAGGTTAAAATATATATAAAAGATAGAATTACATCAAAACTTTAAACAGCTAACTCTGCGATTTACGTTTATATCAAATTTATCACAAAATCAGCTTAACATATCAGACAGCATTTTTTTGTCATTAATCAAGAAATATGATATTAATGTATAACTTTAGTGATCACCTGCAGTGCAGCACAGATTAAATATACTGTATCTGTTTGAGGGAATAGCAGCGTCTGGTCAACAGGTGCTGTGACTCAGCTCTCAGGAACTTGAAGTGTTGACTCACTCTTTTTTCATGGTTGGGGATGATGCAGCGCACAAAGTTGGGGTTTGTGTTCCTGAGCGTTGCCATCAGTTTGGACAGCTGCTCTTTGTACAGCTGTCCAACGGTGCGGAACATGCCTTTCTTGGTCTTGTAGGCAGCTCCAAATGCCGTCTCGTTCATGCCTGCCACCTGGTCCAGACCCACGATCCGGTCAACTGAGGAGGAAAAAAATAACAGAAAAAAACAAAAGCTAACTAAATGAGTGATTAATAGGCGTGGGTTTGTTTTTTCTGATGCTGTTTTACTGCTTTAACATCCACCATTTCATTTATTTTAACAGACAACAAATGAAACATTATCAATGAAATGCTGCAAAAAAAAAGACTGAGATGCACAGCAGAGAACACCCCCCATACCATAAAGAAACCATAAAGAAAAGCTAACATTTATGAAAATGCATGTAAAGAAAGTTTCTCTGAATGATTTCAATATAAAACACATAGAAATTATATTAAATTAATGTATCTATATAAGTGTATTTAAACCCTCCAAGCACAACTGCAAAATATAACAATATGTGTGTTAAAGAAAAGCATTAAATAATAGATGAGAGCAGAACAATAAAAAAAAACAGTTCAGCATGAAGTGAACAGGCTGACATACTCAGCCAGTCAGCTCGGTTCATGTCATCAGTCACCTGGGAGGGGAAGAGATGTGTACCTGCTTGTATGTGGTGATGATGAAGCAGCAGACGCTGTTGGTAGTTAGAAATAAAAACAAAATAATCAGCTAGTATTGTTTACTTCTTTATGATTACCTCAGGATAGTCTTGTTAGTTTGCTTTATTATTTTTATTGTTAAATGCATTGATTTTTTATTTATATTTAACTATTGTAAGATGATTCTTTGCCATGAATTTAAAGAAAAGAAAATGGGCTTTATAGTAACAATATGGTGCATTAAAACAATTATTTCAGTAAATTTAATCAATACGTCTATGTAGGATCAAGAATGACCAAACGGCTGAGGAATGATTTAACTGCTGGAAAACATTCCTGGAATATTCCTGCTTTTAGTTAAAATGCCCCACTCTGCGTCTTAATGTCTTAAATCTCTGGTGAAACGCAGATTTTGGAAAAAATAATAAATCTGGTTCTAAAGTTGGATCAGATATCTGGCCTGCAGAAGTTTCCAAACCTTTTTGGTCCAATCAGTGACAGAAACAATATTTTAAAAACTGAAATCATCCTTTGATCCAGTAAGTTTAGGGGAAAAGGCTCTGATGAGGCTGCTGAAAGAAAAAACATCCAATGATCCAACTCTAACTCTTTTATGATTTAAATGCATTCCATGTGATGACTCTGACACTCAACGAGGGTTTCAACAATGATTCGACAAAGCTTTTATTTCCTGATATTTACCTATTGGACACTTTGAAGCAGAACCTGTCAGTTAGAAGCACATTATTGTGTTGCTTTGCTTTTAGTGGATATTAAATTAGCTTTTACTGAGTATTTTCTGCTCCTTCACCATGGTCTACATATCAGCACCATGTAAAGTGTCTACATAGTGTCTACAGTTATTTGCATGTTAAGATTATTTTCATGATAGCATCAGATCTTAGCCCCAGCCTTGCAGATACATCCCTAAAGATCAAACTATATCACAATGCTACCACCAGCTCGCCAAACCCATGTGCACGAAGATATTTACAGTTATTAAATTACTTATTGTATTACTGAAAATATAATTTAGTTCAATAAATCAATTGAAAATCGAATCACAATATTAGGTTAGTTTAATAGTTTAGATTAGATAAGATTAGATTAATTACACAGAGCTCGGTGTTTTAAGCCTTTATTTTTGTTTTTTATAATTATTTTCTACTTAAAGCCATTGGAAAATCAAATTTTTCAAAGACAATATATATATATATATATATATATATATATATATATATATATATATATATATATATATATATCGTGAAAAATATGTTTACCACCTGCTTAAAGGTTGTAATTTTCTAAAAGGTACTTTAAATATGAAAAATCAGCCAAAACTTAATGTACTGTACGTGATATACTGAGTCTTGGTTTCTACACCTAAACCATCGTGAATTTTTCCACAACCTGCAAAGCTTGTCTTAAATATTTCAGAATTAAACATTTTGACAAGCCGGCTCCCCTGCCAAGTCACCTTAAAATAAATGTTCATCTTGCCTTTTGTCACAACAACCATGTGTTGAAATCCATTCATTTTTAGTCATTTTCAAACCTTTCTATGCCATAACACTGAGGATAATCCTAAACCTAACCATTATCAGTGCATATTTCACCCTAACCTTGGCCTAAACTAACTTTAACCATAAACCTAACTGTTAGCAAAAGAACATAGTGAGGACCAGCGAATGAGCTCACTTTGTTAAAAATGGCCCTCACTTTGCTGGTGAAATCTGAAAAAAGGTCCTAAATCAGATACTCAAAGAGAAGCAAATGCAAACATCACTCCTACCCCTTAAGTTCTCAGAAATAAATGAGGTTTTGAATTCTGAAAGCCCGACATGGATATTGCACTTGACCTCCAAACCTTAAAATCTCATTTTCTTGCAGGTTTCCCAGCAACCAGCATAGCCAAACCTGGGCAGAATTTAAAGTCATGTCCTCCTCTGCTCAAACCTCTAGTGGTGCCAGTGGCACACGATTAGATGCCAGTGTGGATTGTACTTAGCAGCAAACAGGTCGAGATCCGTTCAGGTTAATTCAAAATGAGATAGGCATTGCAGCTACATCACCAAGAATAACAGCTTTTGCAGGTCTGCCAGCCAACGTAGGCGTCATGAGGGTGTAAGCTTGAAAAGACAGGGATTGTGTGGAACCTACAGAACGGGTAGAGTGCCAATGCTTCCCACCATGTTCACTCTTGAACCAACCAAGATTAATTTAACAATGTAGGAACTCTAATTCATGTTATAAATCATTTAAAAGACCTCACCAAGACCCAACAAGGACCATCCACAGAGCTTTAACCACACTGTTTGTCATAATAATTATAGTGAGCTACAACCATTAAGAGCAGGAGGAACATTTTAGTACCTAAAGCTTTATGCCAAATAAGAGCACAGCCATGCAAAGCCATAGGAATGTGTTTTGATGATTTCACAGAGCACTGATGGCAGGGAAGAAGGAACCAATGAGCCCTGCAGTGCTAGCGATGAAAGACAGTAAAAAGTACACAAAGCATGTTACTAACGTTCACCTGGAGCTTCAGGAAGCCCAGACACATTGTCATAGAAAGACGCTCTCTGAAACGTCTGAATGTCTACAGCAACAGAGAGAGAAGACAGGCGTGAGACAGAGAGAGAGAGAAAGAAAGTAGGCATGCATACACAAACATCCAGACTCCCTCAGGAACAAATTATTAGTGCATTAAGAAGATGTTAGAAAGAGGTCTGAGGAGTAAATGTCAGCACTGGCTCTAGTTACAGTTGTTTGCATGAGTCTAAATCTAAATTATAGTTATTTAAGAAAAAGAGAAGCAATTAGCTTTCTATTGAAGCTCGTCCTCTGCAAAAAAAATAAAGGGCTGGTTATCCTCCCTACAGCAGTGTGTCGCAGTGTGCATGTCGCAGATATTTTTGATTTATTCCCAATATTGAGCGTGGTCTTCGCTATGTTATTCCACGCCACAAAGCAAGAGGGACAATCAGGAACTAGCTGTGGGTCTAGATACGGCCGAGGTGGTGAGGAAGTGGGGGAAACAGAGGGACATGAGCGCGAAAAGAAAACGAGGGGGGATCGAGGTGGAAAAAGGGTCCCAGTGTTCTTGCGTTCCTCGCTCTTCTAGCTGCTCCATCTTCACAAGTCGTTTTCAAACAAGGAACAGGAAATACGCATAGTGTAGAGCGGATGTAGATTTGACCAATTAGAGGCCTTCTGTCTGCTGCACTGTCTGCGGTCACCTACAATCTTAGAGAGGTGCACCAGAGTGTCTGCAGCAAGGGCGAGGGCACATTTGCATTCACTGCGACACTTGCAGACGACCTGGTTTCTGAGTATAAATCAGCCTTTAGTCTAACCGTATGATAGAACAAAAACCACTGTAGCAACAATGAAAGGAAGGGTCTGAGGCTAACATGTCTTACTGAACTGTAGGCGATCAGAGACCTACCATCTTTCCAGAGCTCGGACACAAATTTGTCTGTGGACTGGTGAAGCAGTGTGGCCACGTTATCATTTAGAGGATCCATGTTCTTCATGAGCCATTCATCAGCTTTATAGTCCACCTAAGGAAACACAACAGGACACTTTTTTTTATTAACAGCCTTCTAAATTATTTTTTCTGTTATATGAACCCTTTAAAGCCTGGACCATGAAATAATTGACAGAAAATTCAATGTTTTTTTTATTTAGAGTTGTCATTGAACTCTCTGAAAAATTTAAGGAAAGAATATATATATTTTTTGTATAAGTTAAATTAGATCATTTATTTGTATCAACTTTGATACATTAGGCATTTCTGTAGAATATTATATACGTTTTCTGTTCATTACATGTGTCTGATTGTGTAAGTCCGGGTTTTTAAGATCAGCACGATCACACTGATGATGCAAAGTCCTCAAAAACTCATGTATCAAATATGATACGATTGGTTTTAAAGGTTTAATTAGTTCTGCAAAGTTGGGAAACTTATTTACTGATTTATTCCACTTATGCTAGTTTTCATATCACCCATGCTACTCTATCCTAACTGGATATCTTTAAGGACACCCCAACAGAAAGGATTTTTACTCTGTGATCAACAACCTGCTCTGCGTAGTTTCGCCTCTCTGCATTACCAAAGTAGTGCATTTAAAGTGACAGGTGACAAACATGTTGAGAAGATCTGCGCTATTTAGGATCGTAAGATGAAAACCTCAGGCCAGTTTTGTTCATTGACACACGTTCCCCTTTTTGAAGTAGCGGTTGTTGGCGTCTTCTAAGTGTTTATACAGTTGAAACACTTTATCATTTAACGACCACAGTCTTCAGTGTATTTCACTGTGATTTCACGCAATGCAAGGTAGTATTATAAAGTGAAAGATGGTAAATTGGTTTTCTAAATTCTACAGAAATAAAGGTCTGAGAGGAGAGAAATATATTTATATTAATCCCATTTGAGTTAAAGGTTTGTAGATCCAACGTTTGCTGCAATTAGCAGCTGCAACTTTTTATGTCACTAAATTTTTCTCATTCCAGAAGACATTTTTTGCTTAATCTTTTTTGTAAAATAACTCAAGATCGTCTATTTCAATAAGTTTTAGGTTCTTGCTACAGGTATTCAATTGAATTTAAGTCTGAACCTGGAATGGGCCATTCTTTGTCCTCCTAGAAGCTGCACTCCAGTTTCGCTCGATTCATCTACCCTCAACTCTAACGTTCCTTTAACCCTTTATGGGGCACTCAGTGAAATACCTTGAAAATCAAAAGCCAGCGTTATTAGAATCCAGGACAAGACCTTTTTACCTTTCTAACATTCAAAAAATATGGATATTAAGATGGCAAATAACCCGACAATATAAGAAAAATAACAAAAGTGCTTCTATAAGAAACTCATGGAAAACACTCTGAGAGTGAATTAAACACAATTTTTGGTACAACATAACCAAAGACGCATTAATACTTATACTGGCACTTACATTTATTAGTTTATAAACCTAAATATAATTGTTAACTAGGCTTATTAACTTTTTACCTTTATTTTTTAACTTTTCAGTTAGCTTTTTACCTTTTTTCTTTTCCCCCCCAACTTAATTTACAGTAGGCAATATATCATTCAAGGGCTCATCTAATTGGTCCGCCATGTAGCAGGATATTTGCTGAGTGGCTGGATATAGATCTTGTTCTTCTAGACCTTACTGAGGGATTTTGGGACATTTGCATACCCCTTACACATCATTTGTAAGGGGTATGCAAGTGATCAAAAATGGTAACTTGCCCTATAAAGGGTTCACTGTTAAAGGCAGACATTCCCACAGCATGACACTGCTTCCACTATATTTTGCTGTATAGATTATGTACAAGGAGATTCAGACTGAACAGAGCTTTCATATCATATATTTTTCATACTTGATTCATACTATGATTAAAAAGTTTTCCTCGTGTTGCCCCCGACGGTTTCCTGTGTCACTTCATGATGCTGTTCATTTATCTCTAACATTCTCTGAGGGCTTCACATAACATTTTGATTTATACTGATAAAATAACTTTGCTTTACTCTCCATTAAAATATTAAAAGCATATTTTTAAAGCGTCTGCATGCTGTGCATACAGATCATTCTGAATAATGGTGAATCACAGCAGAAGTTAAATGAAACACTCAGCATTCTGACAGAAGATTCTGCATGTGGATTTAATTAAGGTGCTTAAAAAACAACCCTTTAGTGTTTGCAGTTATTTTCCTTCAGTATCACAGTCATGCAGGATTTGTTTTGCATAATTTTAAGGTATTTCTGGATCCAACCGTCTCACGGAATCAAGCAATATTGTTGATTTGTTGATCATAGATCAGGTCCAAGTCCATGTGCCCTCTCTGTGTTTGCAAAAAGCACAACTCTGGAAACAAGGAGAACAATCAAAACATAACCAAACTATTAATCAAGACGTAATATCGGACTTTACGCTGTGAATGGCAGGCACCCTTTCAGGAATGTTAAGGAGGATCAATTTAACTTTAACTGATGCCAGACCTCTAAGGAATGGTTGTTATGTAACCAGCAGGCATCAAAAATCAGGTCTCAAACAGATCCGAACCAGATGTGAGTTTCCTGCAGCAGCAGTTTAACAACTGTGCCTTTGTTTTAACACTTTGACCTCGGTTACTAGGCTGTAAGAGCAGCAAAACCTGAGCCTCAAGATAAGATTGCTGCGCAAAGAAAGTGAGGAAACACATCCGTTTTAAAGAGGGACATAAATTGGAGAATATAAAGTCCAGGCAGAATTTAATTCTTAAAGCAGTTGAAAACTACTGTTATTCACACAGAAAGCTAAACAATATATGCTTACCCTCCCTGCATAGTGGATGATGCAGAAGTCCGCCTTGTCTTTTAGTTGACGAGGTTTCTGAAACTTGGAGTGCGTGCCTAACTCCTGCAGCACTTTGTCCACAAAGGTCTTGTCTGTGGCTTTGGGAAACCAGCACTCCTCATCAAGCAAAGCCAGGATTCCTGGAGGATTATTCTGAGAAGGATAACCACATTCAAAATCAGGAAATCACTCAAAGAGACCAGCAAAGGGACAGAGACATGCTGTAGTTCACTGACCGGCCTCTCAATGAGATCAATGCATGGCTGCAGGTCGAGGCCGAAGTCGATGAAGCTCCATTCGATGCCCTCCCTCTGGTACTCCTCCTGCTCCAGGATGAACATGGTGTGGTTGAAGAGCTGCTGCAGCTTCTCGTTAGTGTAGTTGATGCAGAGCTGCTCGAAAGAGTTTAGCTGAAAATTTAAGATAAAGCAGGGGTCAGGCTGGACTCTACCTTGTTCCTCACACAACCGCTACAGCTGACAGGTGCTTAGCATGGTGCAGAAAAGGGTTTGTTTGAATTAAAACATCAGGATCAACACCTCAAAGATCTCAAAGCCTGCAATGTCCAGAATGCCAATGAAGGAGGCCCCCTGTCGTTTGGTCCGGTCCAGGGCCTTGTTGATGCGGTGGACCAGCCAGCGGAACAGCCGCTCATACGTCGCCTTGGCCAGGGCTTCAACAGCAAAGTCAGCCTTCATTAACAAAGCAGAGAAAACATCATGAAAAATGCATGACCCCAGAGATCAGAGTTCTGTTTAGGAATTTAAGTATTGCTTTAGGTCCTTAGATGTACTCCATACTAGTTCATTGTATATTACCACTAGCTGCAAACATTTTGGATTTGCATTTTAGAACGACTTAGAAAAAAATTGCATGCAAAATGAGTCACCATGTGAAAGTTGATCTACAATGATTACATGTGCAAAGGACAAGAGGTGTAAAAGCAGTTCTGCCCACCGCTATTGATGCTCAGAAGAATTATTAAGAAACATAATAACCCTGATAATAATAGTGCATATCATTTACAGTTGACTGCACATGTGAGTATTTTAAAGTGCTATGCACAAAAGTAGAAAGAAAATCTGGATTTAGGTCAACTGATGGAATAAACCATGAAATAAGGGAAAGTAATTTGTATCATTTGTTATTTTTTTTCAATGCAAGTAATGGGAGGAAAAATCTGATTTTGTACAAAGAAAATCAGAAATTTTCTCTTTAAGCCAAATTGTCTATTAATAAGCAGACTAAACTGAACATTGAACCTGAACCGTAGAGTTGAGTGTAAATGGAAAGATTTCCAACAGAAATTAATCCTTTCAAGTTTTAGGTAGTTAGTGGCTTTTAATTATGAGACTTCAAGAAGAAGGGCATTTGTTTTAAATATAAATCATGTTCATGTAGCATTAACCTGTAACACTTCTGCACCTTTCTGAGCTATGATTTCTCTAAAAAAAANTGGATTTAGGTCAACTGATGGAATAAACCATGAAATAAGGGAAAGTAATTTGTATCATTTGTTATTTTTTTTCAATGCAAGTAATGGGAGGAAAAATCTGATTTTGTACAAAGAAAATCAGAAATTTTCTCTTTAAGCCAAATTGTCTATTAATAAGCAGACTAAACTGAACATTGAACCTGAACCGTAGAGTTGAGTGTAAATGGAAAGATTTCCAACAGAAATTAATCCTTTCAAGTTTTAGGTAGTTAGTGGCTTTTAATTATGAGACTTCAAGAAGAAGGGCATTTGTTTTAAATATAAATCATGTTCATGTAGCATTAACCTGTAACACTTCTGCACCTTTCTGAGCTATGATTTCTCTAAAAAAAAAAAATAAATATTTGAACAGAAAACTTTACAAAGCTTTTTTTTTTGTAAAGTTTTCTGTTCAAATATTATTTTATTTTTATTTTTTTTTTTTTATATTAAAAAAATATATACATTTGAACAGAAAACTTTACAAAAGTGAGTAGCACTGCTGCCTTGCAGCAAGAAGGTTCTGGGTTCGATTCCTGTTCTGTGGTCTTTCTGCATGTTCTCCCCGGGCATGTTTGGGATCTCCAGGTACTCCGGCTTCCTCCCACAGTCCAAACACATGACTGTTAGGTTAATTGGCTTCTCTAAATTGTCCTTAGGTGTGAGTTTGTGCATTAATGGTTGTTTGTCCTGTTTGTCTCTGTGTTGCCCTGCGATGGACTGGCGATCTGTCCAGGGTGTACCCCGCCTGCTGGAGTGGGACTGGAGATAGGCACCAGCACCCCTCGCGACCCCATTCGGGATAAGCGTGTCAGATAATGGATAGAAAACTTTACAAAGCATGCATCACTCACCTCCAGTTAAGCATGCACAGCCTTACATTGGTCTATCACACAGATCGCTGGTTTAAAAGTGAGATTACTCTTAGACAAACTTTATTGCCATCTTGTACACACAGAGTGTATACAAAAAGACATTTCATTCAGTAAAGTAACTCTTGTAATGTGCTGTAAACCATTCTTCAGATTACTAGGACAGGTAACAGCAGCGTGAGCCTGTACCTGCTCTTTGGTCTGAGCTTTTTGCACGTAGTCACGTCCCACTTTGATCCTCGGGGTGAGGATGGCTCGAGTGAACTCCATAACATTCATGCCAAGCAGGTGGCAGAGCTTCTGCGCCGCTAAGGGAAGGAAAGAGCCACAAGTGGGTAAATTACTGTATTATATTTATAGAGACATTTACCAGCAGATAGTCTAAAAAAGTTCACAATTTAATAAACAATAAACCTCCTGAATCAAACATTCCCTCTTGAATCACATTGTTAGATTCCTATCTGCAAGAATGACAGTTAAAAAATAAGCAAGGAAAAAGAAAAACACTACTTTAAAAATATGAATAGAAACATATGAGAGCTATAAAAAGGAGAAATCAGTCAAATTCTAATCTCCAGACTTAAGAAGAATGTAATAAACAGTCTGGCTCTGAAATAGTACATTTTAATTTGCTTTAGCTGGATACTTATGCCATTAAACATGGGTATCAAGCTTATCACATAAAAGTCAACTAAGAAAAAAATATATCTTCTATGTTGTTAATGAATGATTTTTCCTGGTCATTATTATCATTATTATTATTATTATGTGTAGACAATAGTAGGATGATATAAAATGGGATTAAGTTCCCTCATATCTTCCAGCTTACCCGTGTTCTCAGGCATTGAGGCTTGATCGGTGTTCCTCTCCTTCTTGAACACAACGTTGCCAAACTGCAGCACAGCAGACACCACCTTTAACATGCCTGATAGATTGAAGAACAATAAAACTTTATCCCTTCACTGCAGGGAGAGTCGGGTAGTGCTTACATAAAAAAAAGGGATGTAGAAGTTGAAGGAACATCTGGAAGTGGTACTTACAGACTATCTCATCATGGGTGAAGCCCATTATGTGCATCGCATCCATTGTCTCCTGGAAGTTCTCCTTGTCCTGCTGTCCCGGGATGGGAATGTTACCATTGGACAAGAACCTGTAGCTGTTAAATCCCTCTAGAAGCAGGTCAGCTGATTCAGGAAAGGAAGGAAAACTGTTAATAAGACGTTAATAAGAAGTTTTCAATTAAAATTTCATCTATTACAAAACAAACATATCCAGTTTATATAAAAAGAACATACAGACGGTTCAGTTGCATGAAATAAACACAAGAAACAGTTCTTCATCCTTTCAGCTTTTTAAGACTGGCTCCAGAGAGCGGTTCAAAGTTGTTTAGACTCTGTGAAGTCTGATTATGTTTTGCAACATTCTGAAACAATGTGTTAATGGAGTGAATTAAGAGCATCTGGTCACATGTCCAGGTTGTTTTAACCCAAACCAGGATCCTACAGCTCTCCGTCTTGCCAGCACACAGACAGACACTCACTTCGAAGGTGCTCCCCAGCTCCTGCCAACAGGCGGTAGAAAATGTGGAAAGTCCTCTCGTCTTTTGCCTGTCTGATGGCTCTGGACTTCTCTAGAAGATCTGAAGGCCAAAGCTAAGGACTGGCAAGAATAGCTGAATCTGTACAATTAAATTCCCTAAAAACAAATAATTAAAACATAAGCAGTGCTTTACGATAATAATGTTCCCTTGAGGCTTCACGTTTTGTCACAACATAGCACCACACAATATGGTTTATGGGGATCTTAATGCAAATTAGTATAGAAGAAAAAGAAACATACATAGTTTTTCCGAATTTCAAAATTATGGACACAATTTAATGTCACGATTGAAGCATGGTTACAAGATGTCAAAGTCCAAATCCAAAATCAACTGTTATTTTAAAACAGATGTTCACCGATGTTGTTAATGTAAGATATTATTAAAGAAAAATGGTCACAAATCTTAGTCTCCACATGTGCAAAGCAATAGCAATGCAGGATGCAATAAATCCAGCACTGTGGTTCTGTTAACAAAGGGAATGAATAGAAATGCACAATGTCATTTTCTGAGAGAAAATCTTCTATGCATTCGGTTACACCTCACAGTTAATCTACTTTTGTCTTTTGAAAACTTTAGCACAGTAGTTAAAAACATCTAAATATCATTCTAATAAAATCATCTCTTCCCTTTCAGATGTGTTAAAACAACAAAATGATAGAAAATATGAATTAAATGAGGAAAATGTGAGCGTTGGTTGGGAAGCAAACAGAGACACTATGAGACACTATGAGTCTGGTTGTTCTGGATCTCTCAACAGGCCTTCATTTTAACTCCTTATTTAAACAATGAGCCGTCAATCAGCTCTTTAATAGAGGATACAGGTTTCAATATTGGCTCCAACGATGTATCCTGTTACGTCAAAGTTGACTCTGATAAACTTCCCCTGTGGAACAGGACAATTAACTCTTAATTAGTCAAACAGACTATGATATATCCACATGTACACATTTATATGGCTTTATATGTTTGCATACATTTTCCCCTGATCTTTTATTTGTTTCTCCTTGTGGGGCCAGCTCTATTTAACATACCCCCAACCCCCTTGTGGTTTCTTGCTCACGACAAAAATGCAGAGAGGAACCAAAATGCCTATATTAGGAAGTGCCAGGTTAACATGTCAAGCAGGAATCTGAGGCATGTCTGTGGTTTCCTGACAGCGACTGTGTGTAGGTCTGCGGGGACATGCACCCTGCTAGTATTCACTGCTGCTCATCGGACACACCTGTAATTAATGTGAACCCGACCACCACAGAGCTTAATTTTGACCACATGGTTTACTCAGTCACAAAGAAATGTTAAACGCCTGGGGCGGAAGCTCTTTAGATTAGTGTGAACCAAACCAG